CCCCCCCCCCCCCAGTCTCCATTGACAAAAATCATGGAAGAGATAAGAGCATCCTGTCAAACCAAGTAACCTAGGGGAAACACAAACTCTACTAGTTTCCCAGTCCTGCTGATCAATAACATTCCCACATTATGATGCTGCCACAGCCATGCTGCACTTTGGGCGTAGTTTTGTCTGCAGTGCTTGATGAGAAACGTCAGGGTTTTGAAAGGTATGAATGTGTCCTTGATGGGTAAAGCTCAATTTAAATCTGAACAGACCACATTTCCTTCTTCAACATGTTTATGGATTCACTTGTACTTTATGGCAAATTCCATACCCAACTCCAGACAGTGTTTTTCATTCAGCCTTTATTTATACAGGTTAGTCTCATTGAGACGAGGATTCATTTACAAGAGAGACCTGCCTGCCAGTCTGCAAGGTTTTTTTTTTTTTTGAGTGATCACTGATGTTTCTGCATCACTCTTCTTCCCTGGTCTGCAAGTTTTGGGGATGACTCTGTATCATCTTTTCATTTCCTAAAAATGTATTTATGGGGGCTCTGTGGGATGCTTAGGAGTTGGAGATACTTTTTATTTTATAACATAACCCTGATTTAATAATAATAATTAAAGGTAAAAAAAAAAAAAAACCTGAAATTCTATTCTGTAGCTGAAGACATTTCTCTTCTCATCCGGAGGCTTTATGGAATTGACAAGGATTTCCAGATGGGATGTAAAACGTCTTCAGCTCAGAATAGAAGTTTTGTTTTTAAACTTTTTTTTTTTTTTTTTTTTACCGTGACCTGGATGACTGAGAATCTTCATCTGATTGTAACTTTTTTCCAACTTTGTCTCTGACCTAGGGCCAATTTAGAGTTACCAATCAGCCTAACATGCATGTTTTTGGTCTGGGAGGAAACTGGAGTACCTGGAGAAAACCCACGCAGCACGGAGAGAACATGACACTTAGTTTACCCAAAGGTGGATCTTACTGAGCTAATTATGAGCGGGCTTAATGGTGTGAAGTCAAATACAAAGTGCTGGTGTTACTTTTCAATTTTGTATTTACTAAAATTATTTTAACTAGGCTGTTTGGGAGAGGTGGTGCAGAGGTTGAACAAAGTGGGCCTGTGATGTTGTCGCCAGTTCAACTCCCTGTACAGACATCAAAATGTGGGTTGGAAAGGTGAAACACCCACACCTGCCTCTTCCCTCATTTCCCTTCTCTGGGCCCTTGAGCAAGGCTCTTAACCCCAACATCTGCTCCCCTGGGCCCCCTAGACAGCAGCTCTCTGCTCCACACAGAGGGCTGTGGTAGCTCGGTGTCTGTGGTTGAGTCAGGAAGAACATCCGCCGTAAAAACAGTCTTTGTAATAATGAGTTGGTTCGCTGTGATGACTTGAAGAAGGGAGCAGCCAAAAGATTTAAATTGGACTTTATCTTTTTTTAATTTAACTTTATTAATCTGGACTATTCTTGTGAATTTATTACTTAAAAAAATAATTAAAGTACCTTTTTTAAGGCGGTTAAATTTAAAACGATATACAAAGTGTTGAGCTCTTTTACAGTTCGTCTTCACAACCTGATCCTAAAAATGTTTCTAATTGAGCCAGCAGGTGGTGCTGTGGTATTTCCACACTTTTAACCTTACTGTAACTTGACTCTCTTTAAAAAAAACAAAAACAACAACATACCATTTAGGCATTATTTGCTTTAAATGTTTAACAGTTTTAATTCCGTGTGATCAAAATCTTCCTGTCTTTGTGTTTAGCCTCCATGTTTCCCTCAGCGCTCAGGGTCAAACCATGGTGTCAGCTCTCGTCTTCAGCACTCTGCTGTGGCTCTCCCTCATCCTCGCCCTCAGGTTCTGCCTGAAGCTGCTGCTCTCCTACCACCAATGGATCTTTGAAGTGCACGGCAGAGTTTCCAACACCACCAAAGTCTGGGGGGTATGACATGTCACAGCGCCCTCTTGTGACTGTTCTGCAGATGCTGATTTGGATAGTTGTCATTGTTTGGCTGTGTTGATCAGTGGTTGTGATTTTGTAGTAAATCAAAATATGTGCAGGAAAATATTGATTGAAACTCTGCCTTCAAGATTTAAAAACCAAAAACTGATATCCCCATCTGTTTCCTTCAGACTCTTCTGGGGTTATTTTCAAGGAGTAAGCCTTTGCTGTACAGCTATCAGACGTCTCTTCCTCACCTTCCTGTTCCTGCCATCAGAGACACACTCAGCAGGGTAATTCACCTTCACTAGAAGTGAACTGTTGACAGTATCCTGCCTTCAAACCCACAATGAAACATGTCCAGCACAGAAACGGAAGCAGGTTGTCTTCTGCTGTTTTCTTTTTTTCACTCCCTCTTCGTCTCTCAGTACTTGGAGTCAGTGCGTCCCCTGCTGACGGATCCAGAGTTCAAACGGATGACGGGTCTAGCCAACGAGTTCGAGTTAACCCTGGGGAATCGGCTTCAGCGTTACCTGAAGCTTAAAGCTCTGTGGGCCACCAACTATGTAAGTGTATTCATGGACGGGCAAAACCATTAAATCTCTTCAAGGTTCACAGAGACTTTGTCATTTGCATCACATGAGGTACATGAGGTGGAACCAAATGGTGTAAACTTGTTACTGGACAAGTAGAGCACTGTGGGATGGTCTTCATTAAAATTACAAAATGTACTTTCCACATGTGTCGGATATCACCCAGGTACATGTTTTATGTTGTCACGCACCTTTATTTGAATTTTCACACTTTATATGTAAAAACATTCCTACATGTTTCAACATAAGTTGGAAATGTATTACAATTACAGTATTCAGACATATCAGTAATTATTATCTAAATAATTTTTAGTTTAACAATGTTCAGTCAGGTCATCTGGAAGGTTTCTTTTTTGCTGAGACGTTTCGTCCTTCATCCGAAGGACTTCTTAAATCAGAGACGCCACAGACAAACTGGAGTCCCCACAAATAACACACTCCCATAGGGAGAAAAAAAAGTTTGCTGGTAATAAGATGGCTTCTGGGGCCCGCTCTCTCCCCCGTCATCTCCTCCTTCCTCGGATTGTTGAGCATGAACTGTTGGTGTTCTGAACCATTTTGGCATGACTTCATCAATCAACTTTACTAATTGGCATTTATAACGTACGTGAATGTTTCTGTTCCGTGCCCTGAGATCTGTTGCGACTTGGAGCTATATAAATAAGCTAAATTAACGTGAATATATATTTACACGTTTCAAATAATATACAGTCAACCATTCTTTGCTTGCCCCTAGGGAGAGGGAGAAGTCCCCCCAACGCTGGGGGCACAACGGGGAGGGGGCAACTCTGTCCCCACTGTGACCTGTTCTGTAATTTCCTTGGTCAGATTTTTTTTAACCTTTATTTGTACAGATAGTCTCACTGAGTCACGAGGACCCACCCCCCAAGAGAGATGTGTATTTGGCAGCTTTGTGAGCGCCCGGGTGGGACGAGGCTAAATGTTTTAATTGCATGAAGCTCGTTCACTCGCCAAAAACAAATCCTCAAATTAGCCACAGCATTGTATAAGCTGCGGTGTTCAAAGCATGTGGAATAAAGCAGTGGCTTATAGTCTGGTAATTACGGTAAACAAGTATATATTCTTCGTACCCATTCATTCAACCTTTATTTAGACAGGTGAATCCCATTGAGCCTCGAGGACTCATTTACAAGTGAGACCTGATTCAAACAAAGAATGATGACAACAATGGACAACAGCGACAACAATAAACGGTTATAAAAGTCATACTGCAGTTTTTTGGGTTTTTTTTACAAATAGGATGGCTAAAAAAAAGAAGTAACAAAAAACAGCTACATTATAAGGTGAATGTAGAAAAACTAAAAACAGGAACATGTCAGCATTGGTCCCTGCCAGGAGTCCAACAGATTCTTAAAGCCACTTAGAGAGGTCAAGGTCGAGAGCTTCAGATCTTTTTGTAAGATATTCCAGGAAACAGGAGCGGAGTAGGAGAAGGCCCTTCTCCCAAGTTCAGTCTTCACTGAGGGAACACTGCAGGTAATAATGTCCTGAGAGCTCACGCTGTAACTGCACTCGCGCATAGACATGTAGGAGGAGATGTATGAAGGCAGCAGACCAATAAGTGATTTAAAGATGAAAATGTACCAGTGAGAGAGTCTGCGTGAAGTTAATGATGTCCAGTTAACCAGTGAATACAGGGTGCAGTGGTGGGTACGATAATCACAACCAGTTATGAATCTTAGTGCACCATGATAGACAACATCCAACATCTGCAGGGTTCTTGTAGGAGCGTTCATGTAAATAATGTCACCGTAATCAATGGAGGGAAGGAAAGTCACAGATACAACGTGTTTTCTAACATTCAGGGTTAGACAGGATTTGTTTCTTAAAAAGAAACCCAGTTTAACTTTCAGTTTCTTTACCAAGTTTTCCACATGGAGCTTAAAAGAGAGATGTGAGTCGACCAAGATACCCAAATATTTATAGGAATCAACAAACTCAATGGGGACACCATTTGAGGATGAAAATCTGAGGAAGAACTGCTGGGACCAACTTCCTATTTGAAAAAAGCATCCATTTGGTTTTGTCGGCATTTAGGACAAGTTTGAGGCGAAACAAATCTGTCTGGATGATGTTGAATGCAGATTTCAAAAGCTGGAAAGCCTTAGCAACTGTTTTAGCTCAACCATAATCAACTGTGTCGTCAGCATAGAAATGTATTAATGCATCAGGGATGCTTTTACCTACATTATGTATGTAGATTGTAAAGAGGGTGAATGGGACTGAGACCTAAGACCCCTCCTTTTCTGTGCACATGCTCGCCAAACAAAACCCACCTCATCTTACAACAGCCTTACTCAGCACATTTGACAGTTTGTGTCAGTAATTTAAAACCGTTCATCATTTTTAATCTGGCGACCCTACTTATCATGGAAACCACAGCAAATCTATGTAAAACAGCTACACCCCCCCCCCCACCACCACCACCACCACCACCACCAAAAAACAACGACGACAACAAAAAAATCAGGGCATACCAGAGTTCAAGAAATCTGACCAAAGCAGATGTTTGTCGAGTTGCTTCTGAAATGTTCCACGTTTTGTTTGGGTTCTAGGTGAGCGACTGGTGGGAGGAGTATATTTACCTGAGAAGCCGAGGTCCAATAATGGTCAACAGCAATTATTATGGCATGGTAAGAATGCTTCATCACAGCTTATCTCTCAACAATCCTGTCCACATTACATGTTATCTCTTTACATTTTGGCAGTTTGGGAGATGATTTATGGCCTAAATTCAGCTTCCAGTTTATTTCAGCCAACAGCTTTCCTTTTTCTGTTGGTTTGAGTTGTTTTTCTTCTAAATTTTTACTTTTATTCTCAACCTGATTTGTTGTACCTTGTAGGACTTCCTGTTTGTGACACCAACCACAGTTCAGGCTGCAAGGGCAGGCAACACAATCACTGCCCTGCTGCTGTACCGACGCAAAGTGAACCGAGAGGAGCTGACGCCGGTAAGAGGTTCTTCTTTTCTGCAGAGCAGTGTTGTTGTTGGGTTACACCAGTCCTTCTCAAATAGTGGGGCGCGCCCCCCTGGGGGGGGAAGCAATGCCTGGAGGGGACGCATGTGACCCTGGGGAACATGCTTTTTTTGCAGCAGGAAGTAGTTTTTATTTTTTTGTTATTTTTTTCCCACGATTCTCATTTTGACAGGGTGCGTTCTGCAACAGTTTGCCTTGGATCCAGCAACTCTCAGACTGACTGATAATAAAGCTATGAACAAATATGATCTTGTCGTTTTGGGAGCCTAGCTTGAACCGTGTCGCTCCCCTCTGCTGCTGAGACGACGCGTGACATCTCCGCTGCTGTTTTTATGACATGCTGGACCCTTGTCACTCACAGCGCATGCAACAAAGAATATAAACTCAACGCGAGAGTGACACCTGCCCCATCTTTCCTCTTTCATGTTGACAAAATGTTTTCGTTTTATCGATGAGTTTGTCGAAGCACAATTTTGATGTTTTTTTTTTTTTTTGTAAATACAGAAGTAATGTTTAATAAATGTTAGGACTATATTCTTTAACAAAATTTATTTTATGTCATTAAACAACTTGTCAGGTTCTTCTCTTGTGAGCACGTTCCCCAGGAACCCCCTCCAGCAGCTTTTTGCGTTCCGCATCAGTCAGCTCACAAGTAAGCCCTGAAGTGCAAATAACAAACCCTTAAGAGACACCATGGAAAAATATTTAACAGGGATGAAAAGAAAGGCGGAGAGAGACATAAAGAGACGAACCTAAGTCTCCTGAAAGCCAAGACGAGGAAATATGACGAATCATATGTAGCGCTTTGCTTCACTGTGACTACGGTGGGAGATGAGGAAAGACCGGTATGTTTACTGTGTCTAAAAATGTTGGCAGCGGACATCATGAAGCCAAGTAAATTAGGGCATCACTTAAAGACATTACACCCCAATCACGCTGATAAGCCGCTTGAGTTTTTTCAACAAAAACGTGCTGAATATTGCCAACAACCGTCCCGCTTTGTGAATGCTACTTCAGTAAACCAGCGAGCACTGTTGGCATCATATAAGGTGGAGGACCAAATTGCTCAGTGCAAAAAACCCCACACCATAGCAGAGGAGCTGATCCTGCCTGCAGCATTAGACATGGTCTCCGTCATGCTGGATGAGGCAAGTGCTGCAAAAATAGAAACTATCCCTCTGTCCAATGACACCGTCACCCGACGTATAAATGACATCGCTGATGATCTTAAAGAACAGCTGGTAGATCAGCTCAAAGACGGAACGTTTTGCCTTACAGTTCGATGAAGCAACTGACAGCAACAAAGACTCTGTTTATTGCTTATGTACATTTTGACATGACAAACTCTCTGTGTGAGGATCTACTTTTTTGTAAATATGTCGGAGACAGAGCCACAGCTGAAGAGCTATTCAAAATGCTGGACTGCTTCCTGACTGAGAATGGGCTAAAGTGGGAGAACTGTGTTGGTGTTTGCAGTGATGGTGCACAGACCATGGCAGGGATGAGAAAAGGACTTTGGGCACTCGTCAAGAAGGCCTCACCTATGCTGAGTGGATACACTGTTAAACACAGAGAAGCCCTGGCATCAAGGCACCTGTCCTCTGAATTAAGTGAGGTTATGACTGACATTGTAGGTGTAGTCAATTTTATAAAGACCAGACCACTAAAATCAAGAGTCTTCTCTGCTGTCTGTGAGGAGATGGGAGCTGAGCATCAAGTTGTGCTGTTTCACAGTGAAGCAAGGAGGCTGTCACAAGGAAAAGTCTTGACTCGTGTTTTTGAGCTCAGAGAGCAGATAAGAATGTTTTTGGAGCAGGAGCACAAGTATGACCTCACAGAAATATTTAGTGATGAGAACTTCCTGGCAAAACTGGCCTACCTGAGTGATGTGTATTTGGAAAGCTAAATGAACTAAATCTACCGCTTCAAGGAAAAGATAAACATCTCCCTCAGGTCACAGACAAGATCAGCTCTTTCACTCGAAAGCTTGCAATGTGGGGCAGGCGACTTGATGAAGGAAATTTATTTATTTATTTTTTCATTTAGCCTTTATTTATCCAGGTAGTCTCATTGAGCCACAAGAACTCATTTTCAAGAGAGACCTGTTTAGGGAGCAGATGTTGGGGTTGAGTGCCTTGCTCAGGGGCCCAGAGTGGGGCGAATGAGGGTGGAGGCAGGTGTGGGTGCTTCACATTTTCCACCCATGTTTTTTGATGTTGACGGTACCGGGAGATGAACCTACGACTTTCTGATCGCAAGCCCATCTTCTAACCTCTGCGCCACCACTCCCCCAATAAATACTGATTCATTCGAGAACCTGCATGAATTTGTTGACACTATTGACTATGATGCCACCTCAGTGATTCCATATGTTAAGGAGCATATTTCATCACTGATGGGATTCTTTAAAAAGTTCTTCCCTGAAGACAGTTCCCAGTATGACTGGGTGAGAGACCCCTTCAATGCACCAGCTCCAAGTGGTTTCAGTTCTGCAGAGGAGGACCAGTTCACTGATATGACGTCTGACTCCACATTGAGACGGAGGTTCACATCACAGACACTGAGTGAATTCTGGCTGAGTGTAGAGAGGCAGTATCCACTGTTGGGGCAGAGGGCCATGAGCATTCTTCTTCTTTTTGCAACATCCTATCTTTGTGAGACTGACTCCTCTGCTGTTGCTGCTCTGAAGACCAAGTCCAGGTCCAGCTAAACATTGAGCAGGAGCTGAGAGCTGCAGGATCATGCTTCAAACTCCACTTCGAAAAGCTGTGCGCTGCAAAACGTGCTCATTGTAGCCATTAATCCTGACTTCCTCATTTTCATAAAAAAAATCAGCACAAATTGTTTTATTCATTTTTGTTTTGTAAGTCAAAGTGTTTTATATAACACTCCTGACTTAAAAGGTTGCTGATCAATTTGAATTTATTATTTATTGATTACATTTTATTTTATTTTTCAGTATCAAATGGTAGTTTAAATAAGGATAGACTTTTTTTCATTTCAGACAAATTGATGCACTTTAAGTTGTTTCTGTTACAGATTAAAAAAACAATGTTAGTTATTCTTTGTTGTAAGTTGGTCCATTTTTTCTTTTTTGTTGTTGTTTTCTTTAATGTTAATAAGGATACAATGTTATGCAGATGTGTATGTATAACAATTTTATAGACAAATGATACCATTTACAGTTGTGGCCAAGAGTTGGGGGTTGGGGTGTGGGGGTGGGGCGTAACGGAAAAGAATTGAGAAGCACTGGGTTACACCTTAACAACTAACGGGTACAGCAGGTTAACGATCTGTTGTGTCCTTGAGGGTGTGAGGGTCAACAAGTCTTCCCTGTTGTATAAATGTTGCTATAGAAACTGACAAACAAACACATGCTAACTGTCAGACGCTTGTGTGTCTGCTTGTGTTAGAGTCGTGTTCCAGGTACCTTCATCCCTCTGTGTGCAGCTCAGTGTGAGAGGATGTTCAACACGACACGCACACCAGGAGCAGAGACCGGTAACACAAACACCAGCAACACACACTCCATTCCTGCTGCAGTGTACTGTAAACATGGTGCACATCGAGCTTTCCCTTCTAGAATCAAACAAACCCTGAACCAGAGAACATGTTTTCTAGGAAGCAGATTTAAATGAGAAAATTTTCAGGGTCACGTACATTCAGGGGAAACTGGACTAACAGTTTGTTACCTCCCCCTCTTAACAAAAAGTGGTACAACTTTATGAATAAACTAAGACAACACGTGTGTGGAGAACAAAGTCCTTCTTTACTTCTTTTGAAGGATTTAAGAGTGTTGTTAAATCATCATTCAGTACAAAGTAATATCTTCTTCTGAGCTTTGATGCAGCAGATGTCCCAGCAAGTCCATGATGAGATCACACTGCAAAACAAATCAAAGCTCTGCAGTCACGGTTTAAAGGTTAGGCGGTGACGCGATTTTTATTTCAAAGTTTATTTTTGTTTTGGTCATGCGCGAGGAAAACGCTTGCACTTGAACCCAATACTCAGGCGGTAAACAAACAAACTACCACTGAGCCACTTTATCATCAAACTGACCCGTTTTTTTGAACCGGACTAAAGTTGGTCCCCCTTCCAACCGAATTTGGTGTTCAGTGACTCGGAGAGCTGGACGGGACCTTCGCTCCGATAGAGAGCTGCTATCTAGGGTGCCCAGGGGAGCAGATGGTGGGGGTTAAGAGCCTTGCTCAAGGGCCCAGAGTGGGGCAAGTGAGGGTGGAGGCAGGTGTGGGTGCTTCACCTTTTCCACCCACATTTTAATGTTGTCTGTTGAATCGGCAACCTTCCGATCACAGGCCCACCTTCTCCAACCTCTGTGCCACCACTCCCACAAATGTTAGTTTTCATTTTAATAAACAAAAAGATTGACTTCAACCAGGACGGCCATTATTTGCAACACAGCAAACCGCTGTTTAAAAATGCATTCTGTAAATTTTAATAATCTAAAGCACTTAAAAAGATTATTAGGTGTAGATTTGTGTTTATATATATTTCCCCATTGTCAAAAAAATCCTAAAGGATATTAATGCAATCATCAAATGTTGTTGGTATTTTTTTCCACAATACTTTAGATTATAACTTGAATGAATAAACTGAAAAAGGGAGTTGTGAGCTGCCAGAGAAACTCTCCTGTTCTTCACAGATGTGCTCCAGCACTGGCAGGATAGTGAGTTTGTGGCTGTCTACCACAATGGCCGCTATTTCCGCCTTTGGGTTTACCGGGGGGGGCGGCTGCTGTCTCCCAGAGAGATCGAACACCAGATCCAGAAGATCTTAGATGACCCCTCACCCCCATTCCCTGGAGAGGCAAAGCTGGGAGTTCTCACCGCTGGAGACAGGTAGTCCTTGGCTTTTTTATTTACACAGCACATTATCAGAAGCATCTGCTCCATCCGTGTTTAAAGTTAGTAAAGAGAAGGAAAGTAATTTATCACATCTTCACAAAGCTCTGTCAGGTTCATTCTTTTATAGCTACTGAACTAAAATATAAATGCAACACTTAGTTTTTGTTCCCATTTTTCATGAGCTGAACTCAAAGATCTAAGTATTTTTTCTATGTACACATTAGGCTTTGTTCTGTCAAATTTGTCTAAAACCACATGTCAAACTCAAGGACCAGGGGCCAAATATGGCCCTTGTTAACGTCCTATCTGGCCCTTGAGATGATATTTTAAGTTATATTTTTTAATTGCTTCTCATTTTATCTAAAGTCTAAGCAGACTTCATTCAGTGCTGACTTATGACCGCTCTGAAGCCAAGAAAATTTACATTTTTTTCCCCCTGTAATCTTTGATTTTTGATGTGGAAATAGTGACACAGAATGTCAAATCAAACTCTTGTTGAGGAACTTGCAACCAAGACAAAATGTCCAGTATCTGACTGGAGTTGATGTGTTGACAGAAACTGGTCCTTGGTTAGAAATACATGTGTAATTTTGGTCCCTTTTGCAACCATGTTTGACACCCCTCGTCTAAATCTGTGTTAGTGAGCACTTCTCCTTTGCAGAGATGATCCATCCACCTCACAGGTGTGGCATATCAAGATGCTGATTGGACAGCATGATTATTGCACAGGTGTGCTTTAGGGTGACCACAAAAAAGTATTTTAGCCTTTACCTTCATCTGTTGGTTTGGACTTTTGACATGTAAGAGCAGGAGCAAACTCTCGGGGATTGTCAGGATGTGCAGCAAAACTGCTGGCATAGACCTACGGAACCTCGCTGACCTACACAAGGTGAGGTCATTGAATAAGGCCAGGCAGATTCTGGCAGATCCTGATCACCCACTCCATGATGAGTTAAGGTTGCTTCCATCTGGACGCAGGTTTCTGCAGCCCAGATTTAGAACAAACGGATTGAAAAACTCATTCATCCCTGTAGCAATCGGGTTTCTCAATGAACACTAATTTCAGTACTGTTACTTTAATGTCTTAATGTCTTATATACATTTGCATACATATATACATATGTGTTTATGTGTGTGTATGTGCATGTGTGTGTATATGTACAGTGCCTTGCGAAAGTATTCGGCCCCCTTGAACTTTTCAACCTTTTGCCACATTTCAGGCTTCAAACATAAAGATATAAAATTTTAATTTTTTGTGAAGAATCAACAAGTGGGACACAATCGTGAAGTGGAATGAAATTTATTGGTGTCAAACTTTTTTAACAAATAAAAACCTGAAAAGTGGGGCGTGCATTATTATTCGGCCCCCTTGCGTTAATACTTTGTAGTGCCGCCTTTTGCTGCAGTTCCAGCTGCAAGTCTCTTGGGGTTTGTCTCTATCAGTGTTGAACATGGAGACACTGAACTTTTTGCCCATTCTTCCTGCAGAACAGCTCGAGCTCAGTGAGGTTGGATGGAGAGCGTTTGTGAACAGCAGTCTTCAGCTCTTTCCACAGATTCTCGATTGGATTCAGGTCTGGACTTTGACTTGGCCATTCCAACACCTGGATACGTTTATTTGTGAACCATTCCATTGTAGATGTGTCTTTATGTTTTGGATCATTGTCTTGTTGGAAGATAAATCTCCGTCCCAGTCTCAGGTCTCTTGCAGACTCAAACAGGTTTTCTTCCAGAATGGTCCTGTATTTGGCCCCATCCATCTTCCCATCAATTCTGACCATCTTCCCTGTCCCTGCTGATGAAAAGCAGGCCCAAACCATGATGCTGCCACCACCATGTTTGACAGTGGGGATGGTGTGTTCAGGGTGATGAGCTGTGTTGCTTTTATGCCAAACATATCGTTTTGCATTGTGGCCAAACAGTTTGATTTTGGTTTCATGTGACCAGAGCACCTTCTTCCACATGTTTGGTGTCTCCCAGGTGCTTGTGACAAACTTTAAACGACACTTTTTATGGATATCTTTGAGAAATGGCTTTCTTCTTGCCACTCTTCCATAAAGGCCAGATTTGTGCAGTGTACGACTGATTGTTGTCCTATGGACAAACTCTCCCACCTCAGCTGTAGATCTCTGCAGTTCATCCAGAGTGATCATGGGCCTCTTGGCTGCATCTCTCATCAGTCTTCTCCTTGTTCCAGATGAAAGTTTAGAGGGACGGCTGGGTCTTGGTAGATTTGCAGTGGTCTGATACTCCTTCCATTTCAATATGATTGCTTGCACAGTGCTCCTTGGGAAGTTTAAAGCTTGGGAAATCTTTTTGTATCCAAATCCAGCTTTAAACTTCTCCACAACAGTATCTCGGACCTGCCTGGTGTGTTCCTTGGTCTTCATGATGCTCTCTGAACAGAACCCTGAGACTGTCACAGAGCAGGTGCATTTATACGGAGACGTGATTACACACAGGTGGATTCTATTTATCATCATCAGTCATTTGGGACAGCATTGGATCATTCATAGATCCTCACTGAACTTCTGGAGTGAGTTTGCTGCACTGAAAGTAAAGGGGCCCAATAATATTGCACGCCCCACTTTTCAGTTTTTTATTTGTTAAAAAAGTTTGACACATCCAATAAATTTCATTCCACTTCACGATTGTGTCCCACTTGTTGTTGATTCTTCACAAAAAAATTTAAATTTTATATCTTTAAGTTTGAAGCCTGAAATGTGGTAAAATGTTGAAAAGTTCAAGGGGCCGAATATTTTCGCAAGGCACTGTACACATCTACTGACTGTGAAACTAATTGCCCCTCGGGGATAATAAAGATACTTGAACCTGTACTTTAACTTGAAAAAAGGCCACTTTAAAATGTGCAGTTTACTTTCACTGTATTGGGAGAGTCTGGGGAGGGGTCAGAAAACCAGTCAGTATCTGGTGTGACCATCATGCATCATATAGTGCAACATGTGTCCTTCACATAGTTGATCAGGTTGTTGATTGTGGCCTGTGGAATGTTGGTCCACTCCTTTCCAATGGCTGTGTGAAGTTACTGGATATCGCCATGAACTGAACAACACGCTGTTGTATACGCCAATCCAAAGCATCCCAAACATGCTCAATGGTTGACATGTCCGGTGAGTTTTCTGGCCATGCAAGAACTGGGATGTTTTCAGCTTCTAGGATTTGTGTACAGATCCTTGCAACATGGAGCCATGCATTATCATGCTGGAACATGAGGTGATGGTTGTGGATGAATGGAACTTCAGTGAACCTCAAGATCTCATCGCAGAATCTCTGTGCATTCAAAATGGCAGCACGACGGCTCAGTGGTTAGCACTGTTGTCTCACAGCAAGAAGGTCCTGAGTTCAATCCCCGGTTGGACCTGGGGTCTTTCTGTGTGGAGTTTGCATGTTCTTCTCATGCTTGCGTGGGTTTTCTCTGGGTACTCCCACAGATCAAAAACATACATGTTAGGTGGCCTTCAGGCCCAGGCCTCCCTTGCAAAAGAGATCTGTAATCTCAATGGGCTTTGCCTGGTTCAATAAAGGTTAATATTAATAAAAATGTCATCACTAAAACGCACCTGTGTTCGTTGCCCATACCATAATCCCACCACCACCATGGGCCACTCGACTCAGAACTTTAACATCAGCAAACTGCTCACCCATGCAACGCCATACGTTTACCATCTGCCCTGTACAGTGAAAACCATAATTTATCCGTGAAGAGAACACCTCTTCAACGTACCATACGGTGAGCATTGTGAGCATTTGCCCACTCAAGTTGGTTACGATGACTAAATACAGTCAGGTGGAGACCCCGATGAGGACGATGCATGCAGGTGAGCTTCCTTCAGATGGTTTCTGACAGTTTTTGAAGAAATTATTTGATTTTACAAACAGATTGTTGCAGCAGCTGTGCAGTTGTCTAGTCTCAGACAATCTTAGAGATGAAGATGCTGGATGTGGAGGTCCGGAGGTCCTGGGCTGGTGTAGTTGCACGTGGTCTGTGATTGTAAGGCCGGGTGGATGTACTGCCCAATTCTCTGAAACACCTTTGAAGGTGGCTTATGGTAGAGAAATGAACATTCAATTCACGGGCAACAGCTCTGGTGGACATTCCTGCAGTTATCATGCTAATTGACATGACAAATGGTATGATCCCTCTGCCCACACAGAAATGTAACCCAGGGTGAGATAACTTCCGACAAACAAACATGTTTGGGCAACCAAGCTGAGGAACAGCTTCTACCCTGAAGCTCTTAGACTCATCAATCCCTAACCAGGAAAATCACTGTAAGAAAACAAAAACACTTTAATGCCACTTTAAATGGTGTTTGTCCTGTAATTACTGTTTATTCGTCGGATCAGGTGGGGTTCGGAAATGACGACTGCGCGCTGGGGCTGGGTCGAATTGGATCGGATTTTTTTGGGCCCGAATACAACTCTACTACAGTTACCTTCATATAGATGAACTTGTGGTACTTCCTGTTTATCACTTGTATTCAGCTGCTCATTATGTCGGCCGCCATCCTTTATCATCTTTTACATTCTTCCAGGCCCAATTTAGGTTTGAAAATGGAATAAACTGTATTCCACCCTCTAAACACTCAGGGTAACGCATGTCTGAATTACATGTTCCCCATTGACAATGTTTAACTATTTTTCTGCTTATTTTTTTTCACAAAATCCTTATGACTGCAAAGCGTCCATAATGCAAAATCCCAACAATGTTGGAGGTAAAGAGGGTGCAGCTCCTGCAGGTAAGGGGCGTTTCACTTGGGACAAATTGAGGTCACCGATTGGTTAGTTGCTGACAAGTCTACTGGACTGATTGACAGATGGTGTCATGTCAGTCACACGCTCCTTCAAAACATGCGACATCTTGGCATTGTTGTGTGATTAAACTGCACATGTTAGTGGCCTTTTGTTGTGGTCAGCCTAAGGCACACCTGTGCTATAATCAGGCTGTTAAATCAGCAACTTGATATGCCACATCTGTGAGGTGGATGGATTATCTTGGCAAAGGAGAAGTGCTCACTAACATAAATACAGAAGTACATACATTTGTGAACACTATTTGAGAGAAAAGGGCCTTTTGTGTACATAGAAAAAGTTTTAGATCTTTGAGTTCAGATCATGGACAACAAAAACTGCTAAACTACGGTTTAGAGAAAAGCATACATGACAACACTTTTTTATGCATCTTTACCTCTGTTGACTTCAGTCTGCTATCAGAGGAACAAACTTGACAATGACCTTCAATTGAAATATTGGTCATCTAAGTGGGGAACTGGATTCCCTTTAAATGCTTTCCAGTTCAAGTACTCGTACAGTTTTAACAGACTATAAATTCAGAGTTATGTCTTCAGTTGTCAGTCCGTTTGAAATTTGTTAACTTGTTAACCTTTTATAGCTATTTTTTGAGAGCTGCATTTCATAGCATCAACATCTGACTTCTGAACTGAGCATTTTATTTTCCATGAATCTGATTTATTTCATTCCATCTTCCCGTCAAGGGTCCCTTGGTTTCAAATGCGGAAGCAGCACTTCAGCTCTGGTGTCAACAAGAAATCACTGGACGCCATTGAGAGGGCCGCCTTCTTTGTAACCTTGGACAATGAAGAGCAAGGCATGAGGGGAGACGACCCCGCAGGAAACCTGGACCGCTATGCCAAATCTCTGCTGCATGGACAGTGCTATGACAGGTAAGGCCCACAAATCTTTAAGTCTTGGATATATTTAGATTTAAAGTAAATTCAAGCAGTCTGTTTTTTTTTTGTTTTTTTTTTTTAGCTCAGTTGCTCTGAGGTGTCAAAGTTTGGATTTCATTACCATCATTCACTCATGACCTCTATTCCCCCGTACAAACATTCATCCTCTTTAACTTAAAGAAGTGAAGTTAACTTGGAAAATGCTCTTTAACACTTAAACACAATAAAAACTGCAATTTATTTCCCATGCTAAATACTTGGATGTTCTGAGTTGAAACAGCTGGCAGTGAGTTTAATCACTCTTGGTTTTTTTTGGTTTTTTTTTTTTTTTTTGGGGGGGGGGGGGGTTAATAACAAAAATACATTAAATAAGGAAAAAAACAGTGAAAAATCTGTTGAACACAGCTGTGATACCACAATATGTAGAGGTGATGGAAATCTTGCATATTTCAGTAATTTCATATTTCATGTATTAAAAGCACAACTTGTTTAAGGACCTGCTAAACTTCAGTTACTCAATATTTAAAATCAAATAAATACACTGAAAAAGAAAGTTTATAAAACGGGTTGCAACAATTCCATTAAAAAAAAAATAATAATAATTCAATCATTAAATCTGACCTAATAAAATTTCCAAAGCCTCAAAACTGCTTTTTAGTTTCAAAGAAAAAAAGCTTAAAGCTGGAGACTGTCATATTGTGCCATGAGCTCCTGAGGTTTCAGGAAAGCATTCGGTTCACCAATTAATGAATTATCTTTTATCAAGGAGGAGATTAAAACAAGGAAATTAATCTGGGGAGAAAGACTTGTCTTCAACATGATCTTTCGCAAATTTATTGGCATCAATTTAGAAGCTCATTTCAGAAAATTATATTTTCCTAAAACTGTTTCTTGAGAAGATTTATTTTTTTAGGTATTTTTGGTGGGAATATATACTGGTAATTGTATAGACCCATTCTTGTACCTCTAGCAAGTTTACACTTGGTTTGAAATTTGGAATGTAGCGTTAGTTTGGTTCAAAATATCCTGATGCATGCTCAATAATCCAGGTAGAAAAATCTAAAAAAGTTAAATCTGGTCCTCTGGACATTCAAAAAAACCCAAAACAAAGCAAATCAACAAAAAAATGTAGAAACGTTTCGTCTCTCGTCCGAGAGACTTCTTCAGTCTGAGGTGCTGTATTCAGCTCAGTCTCTTAAATAGCACCTTCTCAGAGTGGATCAACCAGTTTTGCTGCTGACAACCAAAACCAGCTGATCACATGCTCAAGAAGGACCATCAGCCTAACAATGGATCATTAGCACACTGATGGCTGTTTACTATTCACAGAGGGCTGAGTGATACTAGCAATCACAGCATTGTAAGAGGGGGACAATTGATCCCGGAGGCCTCCACCCCTGTTTAACGATGGACTGTTTCTTTTCACAAAGATGGCCTCCTTTACTCCTCTCTCAAACCATCGTTCCTCTCTGTCCAGGATGTGCACATCTTCATCCCTGAAAGAGTGACCACTGGCCTGGAGATGAGTGTAGACCGCAGAGTCCTGGCCTGATGATGTTGATCTTCTGTGCTGGGCCATCCTTTTGGCCAGTGGCTGTTTTGTTTCCCTGATGTAAGACTGATCACAGCCCTCCTGACACTGAACAGCATACACAACATTACTCTGTTTGTGCCAGGGGACTGGATCTTTGGGATGAACCAGTCTTTGCCGTAATATATTTTGGGGTTTAAAAGCCACTGGGCCATTATGTTTAGAAAATAAACGTCTCAGTTTCTCTGATACTCCCTCAACATATGGAATGACCACTGGTCTGGGTCTGGGTTCCTCCTTTTCACCTGATGGCTGACTGGAGTCCTGTTTGGGTTTCTTCTCTGCTTTTAGGAAGGCCCAGTTAGGATATCCACATTGCTCTAGAGCCTGTCTTGTGTGGGATTTCTCCTTCTGCCTGGCTCCTGAGCTAGTGGGGACGCTGTCTGCTCTGTGATACAGAGTCCTGATGACTCCTAACTTGTGCTCCAAAGGGTGATGGGAGACAAACTGCAAATACTGGTCTGTGTGGGTGGGTTTGCGGTACACCTCAGTTTGCAAATGTCCTCTATCAGAGACTGAGACCTCACAGTCCAAGAAAGCCAACTTGCCATTTTTTTCATCTTCTCGTGTGAACTTGATGTATTTATCCACAGAGTTGATGTGGTCAGTAAAATGTTGGACTTCCTGAGATTTAATTTTAACCCAGGTGTCGTCAACATACCTGAACCAATGACTTGGTGGTGTCCCTGAAAAGGACTTCAAGGCTCTCTTTTCTACCTCCTCCATGTACAGGTTGGCAACAATAGGAGAA